TATGAGCTCATCACTGTTGAAGTAGGACTAACCATACGTGTCAGCAGGATTGGGGCCTTAAATTCCAGCTTGTCTGTGTGTTGGGACTTAAACTTTTCTGTGTCACTTAACTGCTGGCAGTACTCCAGAACTATTAAAATCCTAGTAAAAATAACCTTTTGGAAGCACTCTGGAGCTGGTAAACAGCTGGGATACCTTGGAAACAGTCTTCTTTAGATGATGCTTTGTAACATACTTTTTTACAGAAATATGGTTTGAAATGTGTTAGAAACCATTCTTTAAAGGAAGGCTAGGTTCTTGGACCCAAAGTTTTTAGTCAGTTGTGCCTGTCCTGAAATATGATCCCAATGTGTGGCCCCCTGTTCTTTGATGCAGAGACACGTTGAGACAACTATGGTTTTGCATGGCTGTAAAAGATCATGGCATGCACTTGAAGCCTTCATTGAATTGCTTAATTGGGGCATGTTGTGTCGTAATGCAAGATTCCATAACTAATGTCCTGTTTCTTTGAAAGAAGTAATGAATCCCAGAGCAAAATTAATGTGCTGGAATCAAAAGGTCTGGATTCTGTTTTCCCTTTACCTGTTGTTCCTCGGGCCCCTGGTACACGTTACATTTAAGATGCAATTAACCTGTTAATCATGCTGCAAATAGTAACCCAGCCACACAAAGTTGATTTAAGGTGAGATAATATAGTAAGCTAGCTACAAAGTTATTCCATATGTAATGTGTATCAACTTTATGGCTTGTTTGTATCTCACCTTAAATGGAACATGTGGCCAGTTGGGGCCAGCCCATGAAGGATCCTGACGCTCAGATAAGTGCCAGGATCCAGCATGGGGCAGCTCGAGAGTCTGGGATACAGCTGTCCTCTACCTGGACCCCTGTCCAGGCCTGAGAGGTAGATGGGTGGAGCGTGGTGAGCCCATGGTCATAGTGTCTCTTTGATCTTGGGCTTGGTGCATCACAAACATTCAAAAACCATGCGTGCGCTGGGCTGCACTCGTGGTTTTCAGCTTCTGGGGACTTCTGGGCTCGTCAGGAGACAAGAGCCTCTCCCCACTCCCAAGATTCTTGTGCACCAGAGATGTCAGAAAACAATGCATGCAGCCCAGTGCACACTATTTTTAAAGACTCCATCATGACAGGACCCCAGGATCAGGGAGCCTCTCCCTGCTGGGACCTGTAAAAACCATGTATGGCATCTAACTGGGGTTTTGACAATCAACTGCTTATCGGCTGGGGCTGGAGATTGCAGTGGGGCTGGTACCAGACCCTGGTTCCTAGCTGACAATCGGCTGTTTGTGCACTTTGCACAAGAGTGTGTAATCACTCTCAGATACAGATAAAGAAACCATGGCACCCTGCAGGTAAAGTATGGCAGGGAATCCTTAATTAGCAAATCACATATCGTGCCATGAATGTGTGGCGTAATCCTTAATCACCAAATCACATATCGTGCCATGAATGTGTGGCATGGCAGGAAGCATGTTTGTTGGGATTGCAGATCAGGCCTCATCAGGTCTTTAAGTGAATGTCTGTCAGCAGCCTTGAGCAAATCAGTTCATGCCCCTTGACTATGGTTTTCTTATCTTTATAGTAGAAATGATTAGATTACATGGTCTTGTGTAAAAGCCCTTTGAGAAGTGCAGTGTTAGAATGGCTCAATGCAATTAAATAAATTTTTAATTCTGAAGTATTTTAAAAATGTTTCCATTGTAAGTGCAATCCATCTTAAATGTTTGACCTTATTTACTTCCCTCTCTTTGGTCTCCACCCTTCACCCCTTGAAATATGAGCATGTTACAAACCATAAATCAAACATACTAATCCATTACAGATGACATGATTTCATACAACTGTTTTTGTTGTTGTTACACGTCTCCACAGTTGTTGTTATATGACAAGAATTGGATGAACAGATGGAAGCCTTCTGTTTTACATGAAGGAGAAGGAAATATAAGAAATGTAAAATGGAGAGGACATTTAATTGCTTGGGCTAATAACATGGTAAGTATTTGCTTGCTGTTCTTTGCATGTATATAGAAATATCTTGGTAGCGTTGCATACAATTGACTGATATTCCTAAAAATTTTGAAATAGCATCAGGTGTCTAAATACTTATTTTGTAAACCATTTGACTGTGTTCAAATTATTAAATATATAAGGCAGTCCAGCACTGATGGATGTTCTGAGGTGTGTTTTATACACGCACCCACTTCTACCCCATTAGTGCTTGCAAGTGGCCCCTCATCATACTCTTACAATCAACTCTAGAATTACAAAGACTTAACTGTATATACCCCTTCTACAGACACAGATATCCTGCACCATTGTAAAGCAATGGTTTGGATTAACATCATATACTCTGGCAGACTGCCAGTTGAAGTCAGATTTGTGAATCTTGCTTTAAGAAAACTAGTAGTGTTAAAGTGTTAAATAGGTGCAAATCTAACGAGACATGATTCCAAGGTTTCACAAAATAAATCATAATTTTGGAAAATGCTTAGCAGAAGATAAATCTTTTCCCCAGAAGTATAATTCATAGATTTTAAGACCAAAATGGATGGTCACAATCATTGTGTTGATTTTCTTAAGTAACACATTTTACCAGCTTTGCAAATACAAGGCATAATTTGGGTAAAAGCTTCAAAGCCCACTACTAGCAAGTAGCCAGCCTAGGGAAAAAATTTTAAGTACCTATCAGTGATTTAGGTTCTTAAGTATCATTTTTTAATGAAAACGAGGTACTTTAGGAAAATTTTACTCCTATGATGTTTGAAGCTGTGGCATTAATGGCATTTTTTAGATGTTGCTGTGATCCAGTTTCAAAAGGTATCTTATAGACAGGCCTGAGCTTTTACTGCTCATATGTGCCTTATGAATGAGTGTGCTATAGGGATCTAGCTTCTAGTGCTGCTTGATCTTTCTGGCATTAGCACAATTTGAGGTTCATTCTTTCCAGAGCCACACAATTAAAATATATATTCTAGGGGAATCTGTTGGAAGTAGATATGACAGTGGAGGAGAGTCATCCCCAGAGAGTGCACCACATAGGGATGCAGAATACTAATAAAATGTTGAGAACCATCTGTCAGAGTCAAAAAGTCATGGTCAAGCCTATTTTATATGAAAAATGAAATGACTCTTGCCCTTCAAAAGATTAATATATTTGGCTATTGGACCTTTATTTTCTCTTTGCCTCTTTTATTTCCAGGATATTCTTTTCCTAGCGTAGTTTATGTTCTATTCTGTTGAGCTCACTTAAGGAATGCTTTTTATACCATCGTAACTTTTTGTGTTGGTTTTATTTCTGCCCTTGTATACTTTGCCTTCTGACATGTTACATGTAAACCTGTTGGATTTCTGATATTTGGAAAGAACCTACACATTACTGAGGCACAGATCTGAGGCACACCCTCTCCCCCCCGCCCCATGGTGCCCTCCTGGGATGCGCGCAGCAGCAGGAGCCGTTCCCCATCCCTGCGCCCCCTGAATGAGCCACAGCTCTGTCCCCCCTGCCCCTGCTGGACAGCACCTGCCCCAGCCCTGCTCCCTCCTCACTGTGGGAGGCCTTGATCTGCCCCCCCCCCACGCCACTTCCCTCCCCCCTCTCCTTCTACCACAACAGACTTACCAGCTGGATGCAGCTGTATCGGAAATTGGAGGCCGATATGCCTCCTTAAAAATTGGCTATTGGTATCGGCCCCCAAAATCTCTACTGGTGCACCCCTGTCAGTTTGTTACAGCTCCGTTTTATATGACTTGGCTCCATATCTTCAAAGGGGTTTAGTTGCATAACTCCAATTTAAATCCAGTGGGAGGGTGCCTAACATGTTGAAGAATATTGGCCTTAGCATTTTTGCTCAAGGCATGGAAGGTTCATGCTTTTCACTCTAGAGCCTCCCAGTCATGGCCAAACAGGCACATTTCAGAAATTATTATATGCTTTGATGTGCAAAGCAGGCATATCTTCATCAATGATCTGGAAGATGGGATGAAAGGCGCCCTCATGCAAGTTTGCAGATGACACCAGGCTGGGGGGGATTAGTAAATACGCTGTACAGTAGGGCTAGGATTCAGAGAGACCAAAACAAATTGGGGAATTGGACCAAAAGAAATCTCATGAAGTTCTTTAAGGATAGGCACAAAGTCCTGCACCTAGGGTGGAACAGTCCCACGCACTGGTACGACTGGTGACTCTTCAGAAAAGGACCTGGGAGTTACAGTGGACAAGAATCTAAATATGAGCTAATAGTGTGCCCTTGTTACAAAGAAGTCTAACAGCATATTGGGCTGCATTAGTGGAAGTGTTGCCAGCAGATCGATGGAAGTGATTATTCCTCTCTATATGGCACTGGTGAGGCCACATCTGGAATACCGTGTCCAGTTTTGAGCCCCACACTACAAGAAGGATGTGGACAAATTGGAGAAGCAATGAAAATTGGAGGGAGAGCAATGAAAATGTTTAGGGGGCAACTTGTAGGGGAAGAAAAGACTGACTTTATACCTTTTCTCTTTCCAAGATGGAAACTCTCTGCTTCCAATAGGTTGCAAATGGATAGAAACACAGATTTTCTGTTTCCCTTGAGAATAGTATCAGCCGCATAGGATAGTAGGTTGTTTGGTACCTTTGTAGTCTATGGAAGAGTGGGAAACTGCACTCAGAATTGGGAACGTGACTGTGGGGCCAGCTGGGAAGAGATTTAAAGCAGTTGACAAGTAATTCTCTTTTTCACCCATTTATTTCTAATCCTTGGGGAAAGGGTAATGATAGATGACATGATGGAAGTTCCTGCCAAGCAATGCAAGGACTGGCAAGTCTTGCATGTTGTGAGGAATATGGTTGTTTGGTCCTGATCAGCCTGTGTTCCTACACAGGCCTTAGCTTTTTCCTCAAATTTGGGATAAAGAAAGGTGATGTTTCTCACAACTTATTGGTTGGAACCCCACAGAGAAGAGACTTAGAAAGCTTTCAAAGGTGACCCAATAGCAGAACAGGGTATACTGTGTAGTTCCACTCTGCTCAGCCTGCAGGTAAATGAGAACATTTTATTAGGAGGTAATTCTGCTTAAAATTATACTGATGCCTGTGGAGTCTCCTCCATAGCCAGTAACACTATGGTTGTTCTCCCTGTGTATAATCATACTTTTCCCAATATTACCCTGAAATGAATTGTGGTGCCTTGCTTTCTGCCAAATCTGCAAGATCCAGTAGACTTATCCTTCTCTAGAGAGTATTATTCCTTGTAAATTTAATGAGGCAAATTGCAAAAATTCCTGTTAAGTTTTTCTGTAGAGTTCTGTAGATTGAGGAGGGAAGGAGAGGAGGGGGCTAGCTCCTAATTCTAAAAGTAACCTGTTATGTATTTTGCATCTTTTTAATATGTTTCTTCTTCATCTTTGGGTTTGGATTGAATCCTTTAAAAGTATCATATGCACGTGCCTTACTGACCAGCTTGTAGGCTTCTCTTCTCAATCCATCTGCACATCTAGCACTGTCTCCTTTCTACCATTTCACAAATATTTCCACTTTGGAGTTCCGTTTTGTCTGGGACAGATTTTATTAGTTGCCTGGTTTTCTCTTCCTTTCTTTCCCTTTCTGTCAACTCCTATATCATCTCATCTAAATTGTGCATACGATTATATAATTTCCTTTCTGGTCAGTACCGTTTTAATTTTTGTTCTACTGACTTATTGAATGTTAATATTTTTCTATCATGCATCCATTTTGTACAGCCATTTCCTATTATTTGAACCAAAAATTGCTTACAGTATCTTGTAAATCCTAACACTGTGGAATGTTTGAAATGAAGTTTGTCGGGAAGGTGTCATATTAAATAAAGTTGTGTTGTATTTAAACTTCCAGGGTGTGAAGATACTTGACATGATCTCCAAGCAAAGAATTACCAATGTGCCTAGAGATAATATAAGCCTTCGTCCAGATATGTATCCCTGCAGCCTTTGCTGGAAGGACAATTTAACGCTGATTATTGGCTGGGGAAATTCAGTAAAGGTACAATTACCTGTCTTTGTAATAAATGCTTGCTGTTATCACAGGCAAACAGAAGATTATTTCTGAAAAGCAAAGACTATCGAAAAGAATGGAATTTGGTTTGACTACTGTGTGCAGAACTCCTGCTGCCATAGAAATGTCATTGGGCTGACCCTCATGAGGAGGAGTAATAACAGACGCCCAGTGGTCAGACAGATTTCTCTGTGCGTGTACAGTTCATGTAATCCTCAGGGGAATTTTCCTGTTCTGTGGCTTCGAGAGAGTTCCACCTTTGAAATCTCTTAGAAGGTTGTTGAATTTTTATTTTGATTAGCATAAACAGGAACACCATATCGTAAGGTTCTTTGTATGGTCGTTGTCACTGCTAAATAAAAAAAGATGGGGGGTAATTTCAGTCAACCATAGAAAAAGGTGGGGAAGAAGTTTTGTTTGCATTTCTTTCAGACCTGCTTTAGCAGGGTGCTGGCATTTCAAACACATGCTTTGGAGACTGTATGATTTGCTCAGACTGGCATCTGACAAGAGTTTTGTCACAAGCACATTAGATGCTTTCTAATAACAGAGTGATACGTCAATGCCCAGTGGGAAATTAAAAGTGTTTGGAAAGAGCAGATGGAGAGGGAGGGGAAAGAAAGATAGGTGAAGTCATAAAACCTTTCATGTTGTTACAATCTTGAAGAGTTTGATAGACCATGAGGTTATATTATAAGTTTGCCAGTTTTTTACTGTGTCTTGGTATTGGTGTCTATGTTATAAGATTTATGCACCTAGAGCAGTTTTGTCAATCAGGAGCCCTTTACATGTTACAGGTGTTATACAATTAACTGGTTAATTGCACACTTAACTGAGATGAGCTACAAATGCAAGGTACCTTTCGCCATAAAATGTCCAATCGGCTATAAAGTTAGACCTTGGAAAATATGTACCAACTTTATAGCTGGTTGCTATCCAGCTTTAATTCGCACATGGAGCGGGGTCTGTTTCTGCAGCTGGAAGCTCTGCCAGCTGATTGAGTTCCCAGTTGCAAGAGTGCACCATGCCCAGCTGGAGCCGGGCGTCTTGCAGCTGAGGAGATTCTCAGCCCCAGCTTTGCAGGGCTATAGCTCTAGAAATTCATGGTTCCAAAGTAACACATGATGCAAAAATATTTTTGAAACGAATGTTAATGATACAAATCTTTGTTTTTCTAGATATGCTCAGTAAAGGAACGCCATGCCAGCGAAATGCGAGATCTGCCTAGCCGTTATGTTGAAATAGGTACAATCCCGTGGCTTTGTGCATTTAACACAACCTCTTAAGTTTCGACAGATGAATTTCAGTAATTTTTTGTGAAGTCTGTTTTCCCATATGAAACTGGACAGTTAAAATAGGGGGGGTTTGTTTGTTTGTTTGTTTTCCAGTGGTAGGTTAAAGTTTTTTGTCTTGTCTTCTGTTGGACCAATTGTATAGTTAAGAGAGTAGTTGGACAAGTTTTGAGGTATCAAGTGCACTCTCTCAGATAACCTGAGGAAGCTTGTCCAACATCTCCCAACTATAGTTGGTCCAAGAAAAGTTCGCATAAAAAAGCCTTGCCTCACAACATTTCCTAGACCATCATGGCTACAGGAACATTCCAGACCTGTTTGTTTTTTTTTCAGTGGCTAATTCCTAGGTAGTGTTCTGGTATGACTCCATACGCTGTGTATTTAATCTGAAATGTCATTCTCATACTAGCTTGGGATGCTAAGAATTATATAATCTCAGGAGCCTGGAACTGTCATGTGTTTTTAGGACAGGGTTCCTCTTGGAGATTTTTACATCTCATATCTTCCTACACATCTATGCTCCTAGAAGCAACTTGTTTTTTTGTTTGGTTGGATTAAAAAAAAATTAGGAAGCATTAAGGAGCTAAGATAAACTCTAATATACCATATGGGGCTTGATTACATAGCTTCCCACTTCCTTTTTTCTTTATCTCCTGATGGAGAGCATCAGTTAACTTCCCCAGCTTCAGATTGCTTGGCACTTGGCTTCTATCTTTACAGTCTTACACGCTCTCTCATTTTCTTGGTGTGTATAAATGTGGAGAAGGCCAAATACTAAGAGTGCAATATGAAACAAATTGCAGGGATAAGCTTGGGGGGTTAGGTTTTGCTTTTGTATTTGTCAAAAAACACAATTCCTAGAAGAGATTCCTATTTTGAAACATAACTAGCAGGAAGCCTAATTTCTTAGAAGAATGAAAGAGAGAGCTTTATACTGAAAATAGGTTTGAGGACCTTTCAGAGTAGAGTTCTTAGACTCTTGTCCATGCATTACTCTCTTCTGATTTGCCTGTGAGGATATAGGCATATTAAATTAAAAGATATGGATGAAATCCTGGTTTCTCAAGGGTGTACAGACGTTCAGGCAGCCTATTGGGGAGGCGCTCTAGCTCAAGGCACTTTACACAAAGCGCCACGAGTTAGAGCACCACTGAACCCAACAGGCATTTGCCTGTAGGTTGTGGGGGGGGGGGAGCTTAGATCCTCCCTGCACTGGCCCAGGCCAGCAGACAGGGGCTGTCCAGGAGGCTTTTAGACCACCCCTTTTCTCAGTCGCCAGCCTCCCCCAGCTGGTAATTGTCAACAGCAGCAGCTAGGAGGGGGGAGGAACAGTTCTTGGTGGAAGCCTGGCCAGGCCTGTATGGGGGGGGGCTCCCTTCCCGCACCTCCCCTCCACCCCCCACCCCCCATGCAAGTTTCTTGACAGCAGCAACCTCATGGCTGCCATGCCCAGGGCTGGCAGGGGGAGGGAAGGGACCCCTACCTTGCAGGCCTGGCTCTGCTCCCCCCACTCCCCAGCAAGACTGCAGCAGGGGTAGCTGGGCCAGGCCTGTGCTGCAAGGGGGCTCCATTTTTCTCCTCCCCCACCTCTGCAAAGCCACATGGGATGTGGGTGGAATTGCCCAAAATTTAACTCTCTCAAGGAACCAGTACACGGGTTTCTTAAGGAGGTCTGGTTTAGAGCATCCCAGTCTGATGCTACATCAGACCTTTGTTGTGATGTGGCAGCAGAGCATTTTCGGGGGCCTCGTTGCACAAAAAATGTAACTTCTGTACATGCCGTCAGAAAGCAGTGGTAGAACTCATACTGTTTTCATGGAAGCAAGGCTTTTACCTTTTGAGTTGAGAATACCAAATGGGACTATTTCCACTATTATACAGTGACTTCAGACAAATATCAGCTTCATTAGGTGCTGGGTATAGAAACTAATACTGAGTGTGTACCCAATATTTTCAGAAAGTTCCAAAAATTATCTGGGAGGATCCTTGTTCTCTATGTGTACATGCAAATATATGTGTGTATGCAGACATGCCCACTCAAGGTAATCACCGTTACTTGACTTGTCCTGACTTCCTGTGATTCTATAATTGAAACTTTATTTTTAATAATATTTTAGTCTGTCATCAAACTGTCTAAGTGCAAGTCTAAAGATTTTTGTGGAAGAAACTTCTTGATCCTACCTTTTTCAGCCTACAGTTTTCTCTGCATGTTTGAGTGGTTGTTTGTTTTTTTTTATCTTGCTTACCTGTTAACAAAGTGCTTGAGACTTTCCTTTCTGGTTTTGGGTCACAGCGCTGAGGACAATTCTGCTGAATGCTATGAGCAGCACTCTTTAGAACGCAGGTAGAAGGTTGTGGGGGCATAATTTGTTGAGGTCTCAGTAGAGATTACAATAGCTTTTGATATCATCATATAGACAATGTTGCTCAAGAACCTTCTTTCATGAAGTGCGATCTGTTTTCAGCTTTGTTGATATTCCGACTTTACCTGCAGACACAAGATAGCAATATTTAAGGTTCTTAGCCCAGTACAGCAGCCAGTTTGGATGTTTTTGACTGGAGACATTTGTATCCCCAAAAGAGACTAAGCATCTATTTAACGCCTATGCTTTTAATATACAGAGCTGACAGTAAATAGAACATAACAAACAAGAAGCTGCTTTCAGAGGTTCATTGGCAAGTTATTTGTTATGGCATTTTTGTTGTATTAGAGAAAGGAATCAAATAACCAATTACAGTACTGGTTATTATATTAAATATTTTTCCCCTCTGCTCTCAGTATTTTTTCTGAGTTCACAGGGATTTGGAGCAATAGTTCAATAAAGCAATTTAACCTAAATCAGTTAAGTCTGATATTGCATCCATCCATGTTTATCTTAAACTGGTTTCAGCCATTTTGAAAGCTGTTTATGTGCACTGAACTTCTGTTGTGTTACAGATTTGAGCTGGTGTCCAATCACTTAAAGCAGTTTATGTGTAATTTCTGTCCCTAGCCATGGGGTGAATGGGGAGGCTTCACACAGGACTGCTTGTTTTTTGGGATAGTACTACCACTATCAACATAGTTCTCTTTGAATGTTAATAGGGCTCAGATTTCTTATCTGAGCCCTTGATTTCTTATCTGAGCCCCAAACATCTTCAGATGTTTGGAGGCCATAGGCAGACAAGGTTCTTTGGGTAAGTCCATTATTTTTTATTAGACCAATTCAAATAGTTGGAAAAACTTGTTCTTTGCAAGCTTTTGGGTACAAATACCCTTAAATAGTCTGAGGAAGCATCTGCAGTTGGTCCATACTGTTCCTGAATGGAATAGTAAAGTTCTCTTTTTTTACTATTCTATCCAGGAAGAGCATGGACCAACTGCAGATGCTTCCTCAGCCTGACAGAAGGGTATTTGTACCCAAAAGCTTGCAAAGAACAAGTTTTCCAACTATTTGAGTTGGTCTAATAAAAGATATCAGGTTTACCCAGAGAACCTTGTCTGCTAAACATGTAGCAAGTTGTTCACCTTCTTTGATGTTTTGCAATGTCTTCTATCTATGGCAGGATATAAATGTGGCACCTACCTTGCTACTAAACTACACTGCCCCATACCATAGAAAAATAAGATGAAAACTACTTTTTTTTAAGCCAATGGTTTGTTTACATGAATAAGAAAAATTGGATTAAGTATCTAGTCAGGCCTTTTATGTTAAAACTTAAGTTGCAGAAGTAAGTTGGTTTATATCTTTCAGTCTAGTAGCAGTGCTATGGTAATTTTTCCGTCTCTTTTTATGGTATAGTTCACTACTTGCATGCGTCTTCATTCAAAAGCATAGATAAATTCCAGCAAAATGTAGCTGGTGGTATATTTTTGTTTGTTAGAAGAGCAGATCCTGTTAGTTTAGCTCTGTCAGCTACTACAGTACTGTATCAATTAGAAAATATTGCTATTGAATTACAGGCTTAACATAGACTAAAGACCATTGTGGTTTTTTTAAAGAGTTTTTAGTCCTGTGTTTGCCCATGGTCTTCGTACTAAAGTTACATTTTAGGAAAGAACTTAAACCATGTGCTTAGCTACATGAGATACCTAAGGCTGAAGGGTTAATATGAACCCTTTCTTCAACTGAGGACAAATACCCTTTGTTGTAAAGGGTAAGAGGTGATTAATTCTTCATTTACACAGTACCTTTAATTCAAAGCACTTTACAAACATTTAAGTATTATCCTTACGAAAATCATCAGAGTTTGGAGTTTATATATATGACAGAGGTATAGATTGAGGCAGGTACAAATAAATAAGCATCATGTCTAATGTAATTTGGTGACACCTGAAAACACAACTGAGGATGTTACTTTCAAGTCTCTGCTTTTGTATTTGTCTTCCCTCCTGATGACTCTTGATCCATGGCTGTCGCTGGTTGATTTCTCTGTGTGGTCATCGTACATCCACATAGCTCATCTCATGCACACATACTAATTTGGTCTTTCTGGGCCTTCTCCTAATTTGGTGTGTTCCCCCAAAACCAGGACTCGGGGGGGGGTGGGGGGCCCTGATGTGGGGTCTTGTTAGCTGCTGCCACCGTATCTCATGTTATGGAACAGTATGATACATGCCCCCAGTTTCCCAGACTGTGTGTCCGTTGGCCTTGTTGTGTTAGACAGCCTGTCTGTTTCGAAGGCTGTGAAACTCTGTGCGAGACCCAAGCTTTTCAGAAATCAGTTAAGCCCTGCTGCCCATCCTAAACCATTCTAATACATGTATAAGGTGCCACAAATGTGGAGTAAACAGATACCCTTACCCTTTGCTTCACATGACCCAAAAATTAGTGGTGCAACAAAAGGTAGTAATAGACTCTGCTGCTTTATTGTGGTGGGTGTTGATTGTGTTTTAGGCTTTCCCAGTTCTGTGGGGCTGGCTAGGTGATGAAAACCACCACTTTCCCCATTGCCTCAGACTCGCGCTGGGGT